ACAGAAGACTTAACTGGACACAAGTTTTCCAGAATTTCGTGCACTACGTGGTCATGAACTGACAAATAGTTTTCAGCAACCCCACGAGTAATATGTCCTGTCTGTAAAAATGTCATGTAGAATGTCGAATATTATCCAAGTTGAACATGAAGTAGCCTTTTTGCAATTCTGTCCTATAAGCAACGAAACGCTACACAACTGTTCCATCCTCACTGTGAAACACTGGCAGTGCACATCTAACGGAACTCAAAGGAGTTTCGAACCCGTGACCTCCCAGCTAGCAGTTTGAACGTCTGATCATTCGGCCAATAGCGGCTGATCAGCAGTGCGACCAATCCGCACTTAGATAAGCTATGTTACCACTCATCCTTCGGTAACGGAAATCACACCATATGGTCACGTATCGATCTGCACCTCGAGTGACAACTGCTCAAACGGAGGATTCCCTTCCACTGAGCTGTTTATTGATTGATGGTAGTGTGTGGGGTTAACTGTATTTCCAATCAGTTGCTCATGGCCGAACGTTTCAGTTTTCAACCACCGGTTGCGAATTACGAACTGCTGATGTGACACAAAAGAGGACGAAAATAGCTGTACAAAGCGTCTCAGCTTTTCAGAACAGATTGGCCAAAAATACAGAACGAATTAATTCCTATGTGAGTTGAATACTGGGGAACCACTTGATAGGAAGACCAATGCTGGGGTTGTCTTCTGACGTTCCAGTACAGGTGAGCAGCTGTAGTTCTTGGCAGCATTCGTGAAAGACACTCCGCACAATCTGTCTTGAATGTGCATTCACACAAGAGACCAAATAACACCATAAAATACGGTTGTATTCTCGACATCATTTTTATATCTTATTTTCTTTTTACTGAATAGCATTCAAGCTTGAGAATACGGGTGGTGATAAATCCAGCGATCGCGAGAATATGATGACAAAACCGACTTGCTCAGTTCTCTCACGCGTTATCAAGTATCTGAATGCTGACTTATGCCTACCGAATCAGTCATCATTCACTATTGGTAGTCGTAGGTTGAAAAAATAAAAAAATTAAATAATCGTTCAGCTGTAGCACCCTTTCAATCACAAGCTCCCGTGCTACCTGAAGGAAAAATCAGGGCTGTGATACTGCCGGATTGTGTACACCTAGACAGGAAAATTCGAGATGCAGAGGTCAGTTTCGAACCAAGGAACATTTATTAGTGAGTTCGTCCCAAATCGAGCCAACTCGATCCCATTAAGAGTCGTAAGACAGTATTAATCGCCCCCTTGACATCTGGTTGTGTACTTTCCGATCTGTCAGTGTAGTGTGCTGACCAGCTGGCAGGAATGAAGCTAAAGGAACCCGTGAAGAAGGGATTCCTAAGACCGAAACTTTGTGTATGACTGCACTGAAGAGCTGATCTAGGACAGTGGCACACAACTCACCTGAAAACTGCCTTACAGAAAGGCAGAGAGCCCTTTGATATTATGAGGGAGCCACTGGCTGACTTACATCACTAGAATCAATCTGGATTTGAGATTTTTTCAGACTGGCTTTTGGAGGAATTGTTGAATGAAAACCTTTTTTACTTTGTCCAATTCTAGCTGATACGTAATGCAAATTGTATGCAGTATGATATCTCAAGCCACGCTACCAAATGCAAATTTAGCAAAGAACCAGGCGGTTTCGGTATTTCATTAATTGAAAGGTAAGGCGAAGTTTTGAAGGAGAGAGGAAATTCAAAGCACACAGTCAAGTGCGTCATGACCCCAAAAAAACTGCGTGTTCAGTAGAATTTAACAGGTGGTCGGTTTTTGCACGTGTTCTTCATTTTTTGAGTGTCATATGACGCTGTTCAACTGATGACAAGTCGCTTTTTGCACGTCACACTCACGTGCTAACAAGTGCGTCAGCGATCCACCCTAAAACACTTTTATGACCAATCACCATCCAAAAACATTTTCCAAATTTCTCATCCATTCTTTTTTTGAGCATCACCAAGATTTCCTCGGTGTACACCATACTGTCTGAGACTTCATTTCCTTCATAGAAGCCTTCTTCTAGAGATTATTTCACACTATTCATTTCTCCTTACCTCAATCCATCATCCTAGAAACGATACTCTCTCACTCTGCACATTCTCCACACGTTCTCTAAAAGATTTATTGCTTGATTCCGATAAAACTAACTGTAAATATGGTTGGATAACTTCGTTTGAGATAATTCACGTGACGTCCGTGATAGGCAGTCAAAACTGAGCAGTTTGGAATTTTCGTTTGTGCTGACAAATCCGTGCTGGTCATGAGAGGAACACTGCTAACTCACGTGACGACGCTGAACGAGATCGATAAAATATCTTTCGTTAATTATTCCTGTTAGTTGGTTTGCGGTAGCCTAATTTCAAGGTACTTCTTTGGACAATTACCGTGTATTGATCAAAAATTCACAGGACTTAGGAATCGATTAATTCAAATTAGCCAACCAAAAGATGCATAGTAAACGCGAGCGAAAAATCTCGCTGTTCAAATTGAATAACTCAAGACTTTTTTGGGAGCTTCGTTTCCAGAGTAAAACTTATCATTCCTCTAAAACTGGTGATAATATTTTTGAATTGATGCAATACAATATTCTTAGACATCTATGCACGGGAAAAAAGAGGTTTAAAGTGATACGAAATATTTCCATTCTGGCTGCTCTGATAATGAATGTACTTGTCAATCAATTTGAGAACGAATAGTGCTCATCACGAAAACACTGGCTATGACGTGTTACTAGGCAGAGAAAAAAGCCAGATTTATGATACTCGACTTTTAAAATATAGATGTTTGCCAGTCCTAATGGGGGTTATTTAGCCACGAGAAGCTCGCGATCCACTCTTCTTGTTTGTTGATTGAACGTCGAGCAAAAAGGCCCAGATAATGAGCACAACGGCAGTGTATGAAGTGTATGTCTGGCCTACGTGTCACGTCCCCCTCGTGCCCCCCCCCGCTGGTTCCAGCTCTCCTGGTGCACCAGGTGATAGAGGATACCCATTCAGAATTTATTATCTGAATGGTGTTAGTACGAGTGTGTCACTCAATCCGACAGCTGGTATCGATCGATTTTTTCTTACAATGGTCGTTCACATGTTTTTTTCACTGTATGTTACAAAAAGCTGACTTCATACATGAATCCAGTTTGTTTTTGTGGATCTGCCTACATCTTTATTACATGTTTATCCTCGCCATTTTATCTGCTGAATTTTTCTATCCTTCCCTCACCTAAATATTTGAACTTTTCATCTAGGTTGCACCTTACAAGTCAGCAAGTTTTTGCCTCACTTGATGAGCCCCAAGAAGGGCGAAACCTGCTGTGGGCTTTCGAAGAGTTTTCAGCAACCTTATGAGTAGTGTGTTATGTCTAATTTCGCATCCTATTCCTGAGTTATAAGAATGAGGATGTCAAACGTAGGCTTTCGCAGTAAATCTAATACCTTGTCCAATAACTTGGGTTGAAGAAATCATTTTACAGCGGAAAATGCGACCTCACAAGGGTTCTTTTCCAGATAAGCCCGCCACCCAAGAAGGATCAGAAAAAAGAGGATATGAAATTCGTACTTTTGGTTTGTAGTGAAGAGGGTGAAACTGGGACATGTCATTAATAATTTGCATGAAAAGGTTTGTTTCTCGGTACCTTTGGTTCCAAACGAACTCACACAAGTACCTGTCAGCTAAAGATCGGTGTGTGCCGCATTTGCGTTTATTTTGCATCTTGTAGACGTGCCAAAGAGATTCGATGGTTTGTGTGTGGGTTCCAGTCGTTGGATCCACAAAGTTCTTAGTATGATTAACCGTTTCATGAGTATAATTCATGTCAATCATCGTTTCAATTCCTTGGTATGGTGCCCAAATATCGGAGGTGATGATTGAGCAGGGTCGATGCAGGCCTGAATTGTGTCCATCAAGGCGGCCGCAGTTCGATCTTGCACCGCGTACATAAACATCTCTTTAAACTGAAAAAAGCCGCTAGTCGGAAGCTCCGCGAAGAACGTTCTTCTAGTCAACAGCGGCTGTGTGGCTACTAGATAATTCCTTTGAGCAGAATTTGTTGCTGTCTCTTTGTCATGTACGAGAGTTGAAAGCGTCAGAAAGTTTGTTTAAGGTTTTACGTCCGAACGGAAAGAATATTTGCACAAAATGAGCCTAGATGCGGATGAGGAATTGTTTTCATCAAAAATAGGTCAAGGTTGTATGCGTACATTAAATCGGAGCTGGCAAAAAGTGGATCGCGCTCAGCTTTTTGCACTTTTTTGCATTAGTGGTGGGAAAAGGTCCGTCAAAAGCTCAGTTACTGGTGTCTCGAATATTTGGGCAACACAAGCAACCCGACAGATCATCTTTATCTGAGTCTCACCGATTTTCGTGACGAACAGAACTAGCTAAGTGTCTAAACAGCTCAGATGCCTACTCAGCAATTGGTAGTTGATCTGTTAGCCGAGCCTGGTTTTCAAGCGTTTCGTGACCGTCCGAGGAGACACCTATCAATCTACAGTTGGGTGAGTGAGACTTCCGCTTCCGTGTGTTTATATAGTTTCCCGGTAGTTAGTCTCGGGGGGTCGTTTCTGGATTTTTTTTTAGTTGAGGACCGATTAAATAGCTCTATCTGAGTAGCCCTGTTGCTTCATTCTATTCTGGTTCGCTTGTAAGTTGCCAGGCTTCATGCTATCTAACCGGAACGCACAAGGACCGGTGGAATTTAAGATCATTTGTTCCGTGTCTTTCGGAACGAGAGATATCGGACTGAGAATGCGGACACCTCCCGGAGCACCTGAACTGGTTTACAGCTTCCGGTGACCCAGTATCGGATTGGACAACCGTTCTGGCTTTACTCTGGTACGAGTTGGTGAGATAGTTAGGTATCCACACTTACGTTCAAGTCAAGCATTTCAATCGTAACTGAAAGAAAAGTGGACATTTTGAAGCCATCTTTTGTTGTTGCTTTGTTTTCGGAAGAGACCGCATCGGGAATATTTTAGCTCCGCTACTGGTAGATCAACTTATGTCCACAAAGAAGGTTCTAGTCCCAGTTCCCAGATGAATACGTCTTCTGTGTTCGACGAAAATGAGCGAGCACTGGTGCTGCTACTGTTGTGAGGTAGGTTGTTTTTCCCGAATCATCCAACACCTCCCTCTCCCTCAAAATAATCTTCTCTCTGTAGCCAGAGGAAGAGATCATGGATATCGAAGTGGTCGAAGATGGAGATGCCCTTCAGGAGTACGGAGTGAATCGAACCCTCCAACTTTTACGGTCAATGATTAATCAAGGTGGAAGACCGTGAGTACCAATTCGGTGAAGTATTCCCATTTTATATTACAAAAGACATCAAGTTCTCCCGTTTTTTTTCGCGCTAAGCTGTTCGCTGATGATCACTGTCACGCCCAAGGTCTATGCGATTTATTTATAAAAAATTACTTTGGTTTTTAGAAAGTTATACATGTTTAAAACAAACTAGGTATCAGTGTGTCCTCATTCAAGGTGAGCAAGAAAAATAAACTTTGTTCCAACCCGACCAGCTAAAAACTTGCCAGATGACAAAACACTTTTTGCCCTCTGTGTATGTAACTGCTTAGGGCGACTCCCCGAGTGGCCGTCCATCAAAAGCTAGGTGGTAGTGCGTGAGCGAAATACACTCATTTTCAAACTAATTTGGTTTTTCGAGAGAATCGCCTGGGACCAAGAGGAATATCTCTTTTATGACGTTTCTAGGCAACGGAATGTGCTGCACCAGGCCGCCTCATGTTTCAGTCGCTACGATATGCGAGATATCGCGATACATGTATATTTGTAGTGCACTACTTATAAGGTCGCTGAAAACTCTTGGACAGCCCACAACCAGTTTCGCCTTTCTTGGTACTCATCAGGTAGGCGCAGTCCCCGAGTTTCCTTATGTTTTAGTTAAAACCAAATTGCACGAAATTAGCGAATATACACTCATTTGCAAACTAATTTGGTTTTTCGAGAGACTCACCTGGAACCCCAGCTGAATCTGTCGTTTTTGATGTGTCCAGGCAACTGAATGTGCTGCACCAGGCCGCCTCATTTCACTACATGCCTTCACTAAATTGCATGTCCGATAGATTCTCGACTGGCTGGGGTTAGATAGCGCACATCCGGTTGGTCTGTTTCTACACGTCTGGCATTTTCCAGGCTAAGTCAACAGGAATAAACCGATAAAACCGAGACGTGGCTGTTCTTTACACCCTGTGTGTCACTTAACATGTTGTATTGTAGTACTGAACTGAAACATCAGCCCTGAGTTTAATTCATATGCAAACCCGACAGAAAACGCTCCTTCCATCAATAAAACAGAACTATCTAACCAAATAATCAGAGGACTTAAAAACTCTCCGACAACGCAATATCGATTTCTCCCTTCATGGGACACATAAGGCGGGCGCCATCTACGAATTTCCGTCAGCCTTCCGTTCTACTTATGAGTAGTTTGTTGTGTTCAAACAATACATTGCAATCTTGGGAATGCCCTCCCAACTGAAACATGAGGCATTTGTTGTGTGCAGTTGATGGATACCACGAACAGGAGTTTCAGCTAGGATTCCGCTGAGTCTCCCGTTAAAGCCAAATTAGTTTTTGCACATTCTAGACGGTATCGAGGAATTCTGTGACATTGATTTTTTGGGGGCCACAGGGTTAGTGTGGGCCTCGGATTAGGCCATTTTTCATGCTTCACAGCAAACCTGAGTCATCACCCGGTCGGTTTATTCGCGGCTTTGCGCTAGACTGACCACGATGGCTGATTTTATTGGACAACCAGTAACCATCGCCATCATCATTGACAGCATGACATCAGTGCTCAACACTGATGCTTCACTGCCATACAACCATGATCTATTTGAAAGCCTTATATTCACTCATACAATCTGGATAGAAACTGACAACAAGAACGCCACTGACATCGGTTGGCAGCCATATCTTGTAGTGTCTCCAACCAGGCACAGTGAAGATCATGCGGTCCCCATCCTGGAAGATGAGTAGCACCGACAGCACCCAAGCGTTTCGTGATCTCCTTCATACTCC